TTTTTTTTTTTTTTTTGGTAATGGTTTTATGGGTTGTGTCAAAAGAAATAATTTATTTCAATAAAAATATTTTTTTTATGGTCTTAACAAAATAGATAATTTATTCAATATATATATATATATATATATATATTTTAATTCTCTTCTTTTCATACTTTTTTTTTTTAATCTTGACAAAAGAGATCATTTTTTTAATGGTTATTTTTTATTTTTTTGGTTCGGTCAAAAGAAGCAATTTATTCAGCATAATATATATATTTTTTTAGGTCTCGTGAAAAAAAAAAAATAAAAAATTCTTGTCAAAAAAGAACTAAAATATTAAAGAATAGAGATAAGGAGACGAAATCTAAAAGGGCGGTTGTGTTATTTAAAAACTAATAATTATTTATTTGTAAAGTTATGGTTAAAATTGTAATTTTTTTTAAGATTGTAGTGCAAATATTGAAAAGTAGAAAGTGGATATCACTTTCCTTTATTATTTAGGTTTCTTGTTTATTTAGTTATAATTTTTATAGAAATTTTAAGTTTAGGTAATTTTTTTTAGTTTCCTTATGGTATAATGTTTCTAATGAATAAATTTTTATTTATTATAAATACGTGTGAGGTGGGCCAAACATAGTCTTTTATTAGGATTTGATTTGGCTGTCTGTAGAAGTCCTTTAGAACATATAGATTCAAATCCCAAGAGAGGGATGAAAAAGTTTGAAGTATTGATCAGAGAAGAATTACTTAGTTTGATTGAATGGCTTCCACCGCTGCAACTGAAATCATCGGCGGCAATAAGGACCTGGCGGTGGAGATCCTTCAGCATCTACCGGCAAAATCCCTCATTCGGTTCAAGTCAATCTCTAAAGCATGGCTCTCCCTCATCTCCAATCCTCGCTTCTCTTTCCTCCTCTGGCAATCCCATCATCATCCCAATATCTCCAGCCTTTTCTTCAACTTTAGACCCCAAACTGAAACCATCAATTACATTCCTCTCACTCCCTCCGGCTTGAAGAATCAATGTGATATTACAACCGTTATTAATGGTGGAGAAGAAAACAATTCACCACTTATCTTTCCTGATACGTGTGCTACAATCTTAGACTCTTGTAATGGTTTTCTACTTGTCTATTTTACTAAGCAGCAGAGCTGTAGTTCCGGTAGGAGTCCGTCGTACCACGTTTATAATCCTGCTACCAAGCAATTCGATCACTACTCTTCCATGGCCTCTTTCGGTCACTTTCCTTGCTGACATTGTATATTTGGTTTTCAATCCTTTAAAATCACTTCACTACAAAGTTGTTTTGGTTCAGGCTTTAGAGCATGGTAATGCCTACTTGTATCAAAAACATATTTATTCGTCAGAAACCAATGACTGGCGGAGATCACCACTAGATGATATTGGTGATTTTCATCCTTTCCCGAAATCATTAAATAGTTGGACTTGAATAAAGGAGTCTATTGCAATGGTTCCGTCCATTGGATTTCTTACCGCGCAGAAGAAACTTCCTTATACTTTGATGTCCATCAAGAAAGACTTTGCCCAATGCCATCTCCACCGTACAACGATGCAGGTTTTAAATTCTGGCATTTTGGGGAGTCCGGAGGTCATTTGCATTTTATTAGATATTATGATGATATGGGATTTAATGTCAACATCTTGGAGATTGAAAGTGATTACTCCAAGTGGACAATGAAGTATCGGGCTTGCTTTGACGTGATGATGGGTGATCTTACATTTGAGGAGGAGATGGTTATCCGCAGCATTGATACAGTGCTTAGCTTAATCCATGGTGAAGATGAAGGAGACGTGTTTTTGGTACTATATGTACATACCAAGACGAATGATATGATCATCTCCTACAACATTAAGGAGAACACCATTAAGAAGCTTGGTGATGTACCTCGCCATTCTGATTCTCGTTGTCTTAGGTGGTTTGATAATTTTACGTGGCGTAAACACTTCCGTATCTATCGTTACAATAAGACACTCTTTTCTGTTTGATTGTTCATGGTGTGTTGTAATCACTTAGGATTCGGTGGTCTCTATTTCAATGTTCTAATTGTAGCTTGAACTCCATTCTTAAAATCTATTTAGTTTACATTATATTTATGTTGTTTTATGTCCATCAATTGCATTATGTCCATCAAAGTTTTAGTTGTAGTTGTACTGCTTAGAAAAATCCTCTTATTCCTAGAGTTCTTATTTGCTAATTATCAGAAGATAGGATATGCAATTGAAGAGCCCCAAAGGATAAAATCTCTCTCACACACACAAAACACACCCAAACACAAAGACCTCATTACAGCAATGCTTGCATCTATCAACAACCCATTAATCAAAATATCAGAACTCAAACAGAACACAACCCATATCGGATTTTCTTATTTACCACCACTGTAGTCCACTCGCCGTCACCCCTCCTTGCGCATGCCGTAGGCCGAGATGAACGTTCGAGGCAATGAAGTCAGTAAAGTTGACGACTTCGCCCCACAACCATCAACATGACACCGACAACTATATTAGCTGATTGCGAAGACTGGCACCGTCGTCGTGGCGGTGGTGGCATTGCTCATTGCCACTGTCGTGTGGCTGTCGCTTGTCTTCTCCGGGACCACCACACCTCGCTGTCACCGTTTCATGCGCCGAGAAAGAAGCCCTAATGGAGCCGATGAAGATGGGTAGGAAGAAGGCTTAGTTCAGCGTTCACGTTCCACGGTGTAGGAATTTTTAATTCCCTTGTTAATGAAAAAAATAATTAACAGGTATAAGGTTGTAAATTTTATACATCTTTTTTATATTTAAGAATTGATGAAATAATATACAGAAGTTATTATATAATGGGCACCTCTACAGTCTCCAATAATTATATAATTACTATAATATAAATATAATAACCATAATTATAGTAATTATATTTATATATATAATTATGGTAATTATAATTATAATTATATATATAATTACTATAATTATATTTAAATAAATATTAATATACTATTAAGGGTATACTTGTTATTTTGCAAGAATTTAACGGGTCTGTGACAAAATGAGGGTAATGTGATAGTTTATGTTATATCAAAGGATTTTTTAATATTCTAGGGGGTTAGTAGATAGTTTCGATAAACAAAACCCTATTATTATTAAGGATTAATTTCATTTACACCCCTTCAGATTTAAACAAATATCACTCTCAAATATTTTTTAAAAATAATTATGACTTAAGTTCATTTTTACTTTTCAGTAAGTCTCTATTAAAAATATTGAAAAGACAACTTTACTCCTAATTTTTTAATTTTATTTATTCCAAATTATCAAGCTACTTAAATGACCATTATACCCCTAGTGTCTATATCTATATATATATATATATATATATATATATATATATATATATATATATCACAGGTATATATATGTAACAATCCGGCGGCGGAGACATCCGGTTAGGCACAGAGGCAATGACGGCGAAGGCATCGAGATCGGTTGGGCACTGCAGCGTTGGCCAAACCAAAGATTGCGGGACGTTGCCGGACGGTGGTGGTTTGGTGGGAAGGAAGACGCCAAACCAGAGGTTGCTGCGCCGTCGACTGTGGGTCGCTGTCATGCGTCGCGGGTAACGGTCTTCTCGCCGGTGGTTTGCGTGGCCGTCGTGTGTGGATTGTGGGTGTGGGACGGCGGGTCGTGTTCTCCTACGGCCACGGTTTGTTGGGTCATTATTTTGCGTCAATCTCGGGTGCTGTTTTCTTCTCCGGCGAAGTGGACACCATCTTGTGCCGACTATGGTTGTGAGTTGCAGTCACAGGTAGGTTAGGTTGGTAGGTGTTGCCGATTGGGTTGTTTGGGGTTGCCGACTTTGGTTGCTTTGGTCGGTGCGGAGGTTTGCGGCCAGTGAGGTTGTGCTTGTTCTTGAATTTGTGGGTTGTTGTGCTTTCTGTGGGTTTGTTTAAGTGATCTGAAATGGGTGGTTAAATTGGTTGGGTGTTTGTTGTTGTTGTGGTGGTTGGGTTCGGTGTCATTCCGGCTGTCGCGACGCCATCTCCGTTCGCTCCATCAATCACCCACATCACCAAATTCGGATCTGTCAGCCCAAGCAAACCCTTGCCTGAATAAGCTAAGCCCGTTCCAGCCCTTGCCGAACAAGAAGAGAATCGACCTGTTGAACTTGGTGCAGATGGAGAGATGGGTTTGTGAGAAACTTGGAAAAGTCAAAAGACATTAATGAACCTGCAATCTCCTAGTTCTATTTGGATTAATTTTTTCGTTAAAACTTCCACTTTAATTATTATCAAGCTAGCTAACGTATAGAATATAATCTAAATTAAAGGAATTATAGCAAGAATATCGTGATACTTTTAAATTTCTATAATTAGAAAGATCAATAGAAATTAAAAACTCATACAATTAGTAGTAAATTTTTATTTTGGTACACCAAGTTGTTAAAGATAATTTTAGAAATTTTATGATGAATACATATCCAAGAAGCCTGAGTCGTGACATATGAATAAAAAATTATTAAATTAGAAAATCAATAAACAAGTTTTGAGATGAGGACTAAACAGGCTACAAGCCTAAATCTCCTCCATGTACATATATATATTAAGGGTGTCAAAAAAAAAAAAAAAAAAAAAAAAAAATCATATATATTAAGGAATTTATAGTTTCGATTAAATTTCACAAACCCTACTTTTAAATATGTATACGTAGGCGTAAATTTCACAAACCCTACTTTTAAATATGTATACGTAGGCGTATAATGTGCCATTAGCTTTTATATATATATAAGGCTAATCTCTCTGCCTTTCTTAATGCTTTAGCAAAAAGTTGTGTTGTAAAGGGTTGCAGAGAAAACAATTGAAGAAGATAGTTATATATATATAGAGAGAGAGAGTTTTAGGCATCCCCAATAGATTAGGATTTGATTTCGCTGTCTGTAGAAGTCCTTTAGAACATATGGATTCAAATCCCAACAAGTGAAAGCATTGATCAGAGAAGAATTAATTAGTTTGATTGAATGGGTTCCACCGCTGCAGTTGAAATCATCGGCAGCAACAAGGACTTGGCGGTGGAGATCCTTCAGCATCTGCCGGCGAAATCCCTCATTCGGTTCAAGTCAGTCTCTAAAGCATGGCACTCTCTCATCTCCACTCCTCGCTTCTCTCTCCTCCTCTGGCAATCCCATCATCATCCCAAAGTCTCCGGCCTTTTCTTCAACACTAGACCCCGAACTGAAACCATCAAATACATTCCTCTCCCTCACTCCGACTTGAGGAATCAATGTGATATTACAACCGTTGTTCATGGTGGAGAAGAAAACAATTCACCACCTCTCTTTCCTGATATGTCTACCACAATCACACACTCTTGTAATGGTTTTCTACTCTATTTTACTAACCAGCAGCACTTTGGCAGTTCCAGTTGGAAATCGTACTCGTACCATGTTTATAATCCTACTACCAAGCAATTCGCTACTCTTCCATGGCCTTTCACTTGCACTTTCCCTTTCCTTGATGACTTTTTATATTTGGTTTTCGATCCTTTAAAATCACCTTCACTACAAAGTTGTTTTGGTTCAAGCTTCAGAGCATGGTAATGACTACTTGTATCAAATACATATTTATTCGTCAGAAACCAATGACTGGCGGAGATCACCACTAGACGATATTGGTTCAGGTTTTCATCCTTTTCCGGAATCATTAAATAGTGTGAACTTGAATAAAGGAGTCTATTGCAATGGTTCCATCCATTGGATTTCTTACCACGCAGAAGAAACTTCCTTATACTTTGATGTCCATCAAGAAAGATTTTGCCCAATGCCATCTCCACCGTGTAACGATGCAGGTTTTAAATTCTGGCATTTTGGGGAGTCCGGAGGTCATTTGCATTTTATTAGATATTATGATGATATGGGATTCAATGTCAATGTCTGGGAGATGGAAAGTGATTACTCCAAGTGGACAATGAAGTATCGGGTTTGCTTTAACGCAGTGATGGTTGTCCGCAAGGTTACAGCGCTTAGTTTAATCCACAGTGAAGATGAAGGAGATGTGTTTTTGGTACTATATGTACGCACCGGGATGAATTATATGATCATCTCCTATAACATTAAGGAGAACACCTTTAAGAAGCTTGGTGATATACCTAGCCATCCAGATTCTTGTTGGTTTGATGACGATCTTGCGTGGTTTGATGATCTTATGTGGCGTAAACACTTTGGTATCTATCGTTACATTGAGACACTTTTTTCTGTTTGATTGTTCATGGTGCGTTGTAATCATTTAGGATTGGGTGGTCTCTATTTCAGTGTTCTAATTGTAGCTTGAACTCCATTATTAAAATCTATTTAGTTTACATTATATTTATGTTCTTTTATGTCCATCAATTGCATTATGTCCATCAAAGTTTTAGTTGTCGTTGTACTGCTTAGAAAAATCCTCTTATTCCTAGAGTTCTCAGGTGTTTACCAAGGGTGTTAGATGCTAATTATCAGAAGATAGGATATGCAATTGAATAGCCCCAAATACTGTATTGTAATATATATATATATATATATATATATATATATATATATATATATATATATTAAACACACTACATTGGGAATTGACTAATCCTCTCTAAAGTACTGCTGGTATTTTTTTTTTTTTTTTTTTATTTGTCCTGATAAAAAAGAGCCAGTAGGCCATTACAGAAATAGCAAGAAGCAAATAAAGCATAAAAACATCACAAAAGAACCACAAAAGAAGACCGCCAGACAACTCCCAGAGAAACTATGCTAAAGCTAAGACATGACCACTGTCATGAGAACTAAAGCTTAACCAGTTTCTGAGGTAGGAGACCGTCCAGCCCCCACTAACATAGCAATCTTAGTTTCAAACGACTGAGAGGACTCGGTATTGAAGGAATTCATCAACTACGCTCCCAAGCCGCCGGAAGAACCTGAGTGAACACCAGCCATACTACTAGGAGGACTCAATGAAGCCATCTGGCTCAAATCACCCCCTCCCATTCCCTTTCGCCGCTTATCCCCTTTTTGCTGAGCCGCTGAAGACCCACTGGATAGTGTTTGATGAAGTTTACGACCCTTTCGAGCCGACGAGGAGCCCTGACTATTTGAAGTGGCAGACGAATCCGAGGGAGAGCCCTTTCCAGCTGTGGACTTCGCCTTGCCCTTATGCCTTCCTTTAACCAATTGGGCCCAACGCTACAGCAGCAAAATCCAGCCTTTAATAGGTGAGGTAACTAGATCAAAGTTCACTATATCGTCCAGCTGCATAGAAGCTACATGACTCTAGGAGGACGACCTTACCATAATACCCCCTTTAAGCACCGGCAAATGATTTGTCCCGGGGTTAAAATCCACCATAACCCCCTTACCATTATTTTCCACAGCTGGCAAAATTGGTAAATCAATAGTACCTATAGACCCCTCACCATGACCCTCTCCACCTGGCATTCAATTTGGATCACCCACACATGACAAAGCAACCACTGGCGGTTGCAAAGGAAGCATTTGAGGGAAAGAGTTTCTACCCAAATGGCTCCCAAAGATCCCATGAGAGTTACCAAACCATTCAGGAAAAGGATGAGCCAAGGAGGAGGAAGGGGAGTGACCTGCATCATCCACCCTATCAGAGTCATTATCCTCCATATAAAGCCATTGTTTTTTATTTTCACCCCTACTAGCACTTCCATCATTCTCTGGCTGCCATAAATCCCGCCCTATAAAGCCTTCGACCCCAAGCCAACCCCCATAGTCCTTAAAATCCGGCATCCCGGGACCCCTTTCCACAGTATAAACTTTCCAATGATACCACATAAGAAACAAAAAGAAGGTAATTTTTCATACCGAATTTTAGCCATGGAAGCCACCCTAGTCGGGTTATGTAAGACCACATAACATATAAGAGGTTGTAAAACATTCAGCTCCACATTAATGCAGAGAACCCGACTATCCGCAAGACCTTTCTCTTTACCATCCACACCACTCTTATCCCGTAATTCAACTTTTAAGCATCTACCAAAGGAGTTAGCAATTCATTGGCCCACCGTTTCAGATAAGTAATCTGCCTGAACATTGGAAAGTTGTATCCAGAATGGAGAGACTTGGAATAGACCTTCAGAATTTAAAAGACCCACCTCCCACACCTTAATAACCACAAGGTGGCTATCAAATAACCAAGGACAGCCCTGAATCACCCCATGACGAACACTTGTGTCTGGAATAATCAAGTGGAACAAGTTATGCGAAACTTTAAAAACCTGAATCCGATGGTGCAGGGGTTGCTTATGTTGATTCTTTGGCTACAACTTAGCAAAAAGTTTTCCAAACGTAAACTTCGCACCTGCAAGAGTGAGAGATTTAGAAGTCTAAACTTTGGCAAAGAGACTCTAACCTGAACTCCTTGGGCCATATCCTCGACTGACAAGTGAATTGGCTCTTTCTCAGCCGGTGTTAAAGTCAAACCCCCGAGCTGTGTTAGAATGTCTTGCTCCATGATCCCCTCAGAAAAGAAACTACAGTTAAGAAACAAAGGGGATACGAATATCGCCCACTTTGGCAATAGAGAAAAAAAGAAAAGAGATAAAAGCCACACATATATGAAATAGCGGAAGAACAACAAATAAATAGCCCAAACATAGCGTGAAGTTCTACTGGTTGGTGTTCGATTTTAGTTAACACTTGTTCTTCCAATGTAGACAAGATTAACAACAAGAAGAAAATTTTCTTTCAATATAAAAGTTAAACATATACAGCAAAAGATAAGAGTTCGTTACCCCTACATCTCCAATTCAAAAGAACCCTTTTATTACCCGATCTACAAACATAGTATAAAAGGAGTATTCAAAACAAAAATCAAATAAACTGTCCCATCGGGAATAAATGTAACAAACACAATTTGATAGTGTTTTAATACAGAGAACAGATGCAATTCCATGTGAGGAAACTTCTTGTGCTTTCTCAAGAACAATTTGACAGTTTCTTGAACTTCTAGGAAACATTTCCACTTTCTTGAGAAATTCTCTCTTGATTTTCATCTAAATAAAAATTTACAATTGACATCTCATGTAATACATTGCATTTTCTCAGAAAATACTCTGTCAACTTCAGCTCATCACTCAGCCCCTGAAATCCATGAATTCCAATTTTTTGAAGACGCATCGATAAACAAGGCACCACTTCTTGTTCAATAAAATTGAAATCCTTAAAAGCATTATCTTCACAATTCTAGACACAGAAATCAAAAGTTTAGAAACTGTGAATAAAAAACAAAATAAATACTTCAAAATTTTCTTATATGTTAATTTATTCACCTTCAATCTAGTCAAATCAAGATATACCAGGTTTGGCATGCTATTGAACAAAAGCAGTAGATGTTTCCAACCATAGCAATTGTGAACATGCAGCCCCATCCAAGTCAAATTAGTGAATAAAGGCAGTTTATTGTCACCAGCACAGTTCGAGCGCCTTAATAAGACATGAACATAAGTCATGGAAGTGCTACATATATACTAGATCAAATTTTAAAAATAATAGCAATAACAAAATTAAAAGGAAAAAGAAATTCAACACTCAATATTATCAAGAAAAGAATTGCAAGCTTACCCCCATGGTACGAGCGCTTAGAGATAGATTTTTGACACTACAAAATTTCCTGAGTAGCACAAGTACACGATCAGCATGTTGTTTGGTTGACTTGGTTTTTATGCAGCAGTGTCCAACATCAACATCCACTTCAACCAATGAGGTTAGGTTCTCTAGCACATAGCAAGGCAAGTAGTCTTCCCAGAGAGTAAGAAACTGAAGACTCAGTGAACTGATTACAATTTTGTTCCCTTTATATTTAGAAGTCTCTTCTACATGATAACCTCCCAAATCTAACTTACAACGCTTCAGAGGTGCCCACATTGAGAGATCAAAACTTAGTTCATCATAAGTGTGAACAAGTCTTTCAATTAACAAATCTTCAAGAACAGGGCAATTCCAGAAAAGATTTTGCGTCAATCCATTGTCCGGAAACTTAAATGAGACATAGAGGACCTTGAGACTTTTAAAATGGACCGAGTGAGGAACAGTACTTAAACTTACAAGAAATCCCAGTTTTAAGAGTACCAATGTTGGGCAAGTGAAGACGCTTAAAGGGCACCTAAAATCCCATTCGCCTTGGTTAATAATGATTTCAAGTTCTTGAACCCCCCGTTTTATGGCTACACTTATCCATGTATATACTCTTGATAAATCATTTTTTTCTATACAGTTCAACAAGAATTTCTGAATGTAAGACAATTCATGATTGAAAAGTACTCGATCAACAAAGTTCTTATCTAAATAAGGTTCTCCAAACGGCAAGTTGACATCGAAATCTAGAATGGGAACAAATGCCCAAAGATGCTTCCATCTTGATGACAGTATGCTGGTTCCGACCACGTCTATTGTTGGTAGGAAAGAGAGAATGTGAACAATAAGTGACTCTGGCAAGCTACTGAGCCTATCTACCTTCTTCAGAATTTTTTGCACTTCCTTTGAAGAATCCTCATGGTTTGAGATTGAAGCTATGGTTTTGTAATGAAAAAATAGATAAGAACTGAGAA